TCTTATCTATTCTTCCATATATATCTGTCAGTTGTATTTGAATTCACACATTTTACGCATACTCTCGTACAAAGTCCATTCATATTTTGTCCTTTGTCCAGAAGCGGGATGCTAAAGGCATACTCATATATGTTAGCATTTGTCTTTTTTTTTTGTCTGCCATACTTCTTATCATTCATGGGTTTTTTCTCTTCCTGCAACTCTATGGTCCACATTATTTTAGATTAGCTTTCGCCCGCGATTCCGTTTGCTTAGGATTTGAAAACCAAAAGTTAGAGAGCCGGTTCAGCCGGTTAGTTTACAAATACTAATAAACATCTATCTAAATTTTCTCATTTATAATATTAGTATGATTACTTTCTTTTGGCGTCTTTTTGAATATCACGGTTTATTAACGGATTCTTCATTAATATTAAGTAAAATTATAATTAAAGTGAACGACTAAATCTTTCGTGACTGAAGTTAATTTACTTTTCGTTATAAAACAGTAAATATAATGGACTTAATATAAATATTATTTATATGATACCATAAAAGTTGGCAAAGTATTCGAGTTAAAATCAATTAGGCTGTAACTCGAGGAAGTCGTTTTCGCATAGTTTTGAAGGGATTAAGAAAGTTTTATTGGAAAACTTTTATCACTTCGTAGGCCGAGGACTGGAGTACCGATCTTGTCGTATATAGTACCACTTATCATACATAGTCAAAGTCACTTTGATTAACTTATAACTTTCACAATTATTCTCTTAAGGCAGTGACTCTCAACCTTTTTTGTTGTGGCACATATTTAACGATTTCAAAATTCGGCCTCGCACAAGGTAAAAGATAAAATTTTTGCTCCTACAACACACTGCATTATTTTTGACAAAAATATGCAAAATGGCGGCACACATTTCAAATTTGGCGGCACACAAAAGTGTTGCGGCACAGTTTTTTTTTATAATATAAGGTGGCAAACGAGCAAGTGGTCACCTGAATCCACCGAAATGGAAAGCGACCGCTGCCCATAAACATCCGCAATTGCAGATGCGTTGTCTACCCTTAATTGACGGAGGAGGAGACGCACGTAAAGAGGACATTTCCCCTTCCTATGCGTCTCCTCCAACGTGGTCGTGGTATTGCTGGGGGCTACCATTCGTGCGAAGATGTTAAAGCGGGCTCTATTTTTTGCGAAAAGTAATCAAAATGTCGTTGTTTTTAAACTAAAAATCAATGTTCATCATCTCCCTCATCTTATCCTACTCCCGTAGGGTCGACACAACGGGTTTTTGTCCTCCAAATAACTCTGTCATCCGTCATCTTATTCAACTAAAATTCAATATTATCTATTTCATTGAAATTCATTTATAAATGTAATGAATATACTCGTAATGTTAGTAGAATACAGCGGTCAGCAAAGTTTTGATAGATCTGTGATTTAGCTGTGTAAACTCCTCGTCCATTTAACTGGCGACGAACTTCTCGTTTGCGGTGTTGTGCCAGTTAACTAATGTTGCAAGTCGTACTGTAACAATTTAATACAAGCTTACTAATTGGTTAAGCTATTGCAGTATTCAATAAATTTTGATTTTAATAAATAAAATTACTCTTACCAAAGATTATTAAAATCAATATAACTTTTGTAACTTCTAAGTTAGATAAAATTAGGTACAATCAGCTGGAAAAGTACGTGATCATTTAAAAAATTAAAAAAAATCGTATAGGCCTTCGGTTTCAATAATAGGTTCATTCGACAATACCATCTATTCATTGTCGGATTTGAACAGATAGATGCATGCATATTTTTGAAATTGAAAGCGTATACGAGTTTATGAAGCTGTGTAAATGTTAACATATTCATGCTGCTGTAGTTCATAATATACAATAGTACATAATGTACATAACATTTGTTGATTAAATATATATCATGAGGAGTGACTATTTGTTTCAGTACAAATAGCTCGTATTAGAATTATGGTAAACTAGCTTTTGCCCGCGACTCCGTCTGTGCAATTATGAAAATTTTATTTTATTACTGACTTTTGTCAAATTATTAATTGCAAATGTCAAAATGACATGACATGATGACCCACCATGGCAACCTTGATTCCTAGATGTTGGCAGCAACTTATGGTCTCTTTCCCACATTAGGGATTTTATCCAAAATATTTACCCCTTAAGTTTAATGGCGTTAAAATATATAGCCTAAAGCGTGACGTAAGTGTATGGCTTTTTATTAAAAAAAAGGATTATTCAAAAATATGCTGTAATCGTTGAGATCTTAGGCAACAAAGAAGTGTGTGTTTACGCTTTATTATAATAGTATAGATAGATGTAGATTGGAATACTGAATTTATCTTTTCGTGCATATATAATATGTAACTTTAATGAAATAGACTAGTGAATAATTTGATATTTTGAGGTCGATGTTGCGATAATTAACTTCAGCCTGGTAGTTGGAGCATATTAAGTTATTATTATAAAGATATTTAGTTAACGTTGCCGCGGAATTTCCGCTACACTAGCTTGTTAATAATATTCCAGCGATACTCGATAATTTATCACTGAAATAATTAATCGACGCCAAACTAATTTATGATTATACTAATGCTAGGTTTCTAAACTTTGCATATGTTTTATCACTAGTTGTTGCTCGTGACTTCGTCCCCTTGAAGTCTAAAAAATACTCATTTATCACTCAGCTTTGTAACGGTGAAAGAATTTTGAAAAGTCAGTAGTTTTTGAGTTGTTTCAATAAATAGTAAAAACAGTCAGATTTTCCCTCTCTATAATATTAGTATAAACATCGATTGATAAGTGTTAGGTTAACATAAGTTTCGGAGTTAAAACTCGTTTCGGTTCGAAATCACTTTTTACGAATTTATCGTATCATAAGTATACCTATCATATATCGCATGGTTAAAAGTATTTAGGAAACCGCCTGTAAATAAGCTTGTAAATTTTACAAGGTTAAGAGCGTTATTAGATATTCTCTAATTTACGTGTAATTATATTTAATGTTATATTTTTAGGTACAGTAAATGATTAATACAAAACTGTACAATTATTTTTTTTTAACAAACGAACCCTCCTGAGTGCCAGTAACATTAAAACGACATTTATTATTACAGTATTTCTCCTTAGAGGAAAGCTAATTGTGATTGCTATTCTATTGTGATAACTTGGAAAACGTTTAGAATTGAACATTACAAAAACAGATGTTTTTTTACTTTATGAAGGTCTTTGATTTCTTCACAATTTGAACAAAGTTCAGAGTTACTAATATTATTTTTTTCTGATACAAATGTATATTATTTGGTTTGTGACGGTGAAATAATATTGTAGATACGAGTACTTCTAGGGCATCATCATCAACTTGCCCTTATTCCTACGGAGGGTCGGTAAAGTATGTGCTACTCTTCCATACATCTCTATCAGTCGTCATATCTGAATCTATTCCCTTCTTAAGCATATCGTCTTTCACACAATCCAAACATACTTTCTTCGGTCTTCCTCTACCTTTGTTGCTACCTGATAACTGTTTAGCCCGGACGTTGCGGATTATTCCCAACCGTCATCCCGCTCCGTCCCCACATGAGGATAAAAAGTTTCATCCGTCCCACTTTTTAGGCTCACCAACAAGGTAAAAGATGGAACCGTTATTAAAAAAATAAGTTCTAACCGTCCCCTCATCGCAAAATTGGGACCGATAACACTTTTTTTCTCATCTGCCCTCACGTGGGGACAGAGCGGAGTCACGGTTGGTAATAATCCGACGTTGCGGGCTGAAAGCCTAATTTTAATAATTAAATTTCTATTAATTGTGTAAATTGCATATACTAATTGCACTTTAAAAATATAGAAGTGGCTGCTATGAGTTTAAACCAAAGTCTAGTTCATTTTACGCGCATTCTCACTAACGCTAACTCGCTAGTTTTCGAAGTCGGTCAAACAATAGTCATTACATACATTGCACAGTCCAATGCGCTCACACAAACACACAAACGTATATGAACACGTAAATCTTTTCGTAGCATAGTTCGTAGCAAATTTCGTAGCACAAGTTCGTAGAGCACATTTACACAATGCATCGCATTACACCGAAAACGAGCGAGAACAATACAGATTTCGAGTTTCAAGTGAATTTCCGTTTGCACACAGTTATGTGAATCAAGTACGCTATTGAGTTCTGTGGTCTTTTTTATTTGTTAAAACGTCAAAGGAAAATTAGCGTATTTGAGCGATTTTAAATTCTGTACCCAGTGGACCGATCAGGTGCAGTCTATACTGGGACTCAACATCCTGACTGCCTTGAGACGAGCCGAAGACAGGGCGGCGTGGAGGCAGCTGGTAGATGAAACGGTAAAGGCTTACCAGGGCAGGCACGAGCTTCAGCAATGAAGATACGAAGAAGAAGAAGAAATTCTGTAGCATTTTTTTTACATGCATGATCACTTTTTTTGGTAAGAAATTAAACAGATAATTTTACTCCAATGAAACACTTTTATATTCACATAATTTATTAAGATTAATATTGACATTTATTAAAAAGAATGTAATATTTTTTAATAATTTTCTACGGTACGTTATGATACAATACATAATAATGTTTGGATACAAAATAAAACGTAGTTGTTTTTTAATTTTTGATGTCATTACTACAGTTTTTTAACTAAATACACTTACATACATATTGTAAAAAACGATCCTTAACCTAGAATAAAATTAAGGGTTGATTTATTTACAATATCGAATTTTCATTAAAGTTAAATTAATAATTTTATTCCAAGAACGATTTTTTAAAACTACATTTTCTATGCGTAATTACGAAGCTTGCGTTCTTTTACAATGAGATATGGAATTCCAAAGAATACCAAAAACAATGTACAAATTTTATTGCACAAAAATACATTAATTTTATCCTTTTAAAGTTGTAAAAGATAAATATATTTTTTTAAATGCCTACCTGATGATTTTTTTTTTTAAAATGCAAATATGTACAGAGATAGGATGACCTGTTGCCAAAATATTTTCAGTAGCGCTATCTTTGGCTTCAGTAGAAAGATATAATATTTATACATTGAATATTTACATCTTACTGACACAAATATTATTACTAACGTCTTTATTTAGACCGCCATGTTTGTAATCTTATATAATAATTAAAATTTAATTCAAGTGTCCACTAATATCTTTAGTAACGCCAAGGTTGGTCCTTTACACCAATTAAATCAAAACAGTTACAAGATTGTGTTAACGGAATTTGGATGACAGTGACAGTTATTTTAAATTAACGCATTCTGATTGGATCATTTTTAACCATAGAGATCGTGCGGCGTGAGAGCGGGGCGCGGGGCGCTCGGCTTACGTCATATCCATGTCCGCTCGACGTTGGGATTGTGATGCTGCGCGTCATTATGTCCGCAGTCGCCGTGCGAAGTGGACGCGCCGCGCCTATGTCAGGCACTGGTTAGCAACGTATTATTGTACGTGCTGTGCATCGAGATTCTGATAGTACCTGATGATAAAAAATAAAGTTATACTTTGTAGGATATTTAAAAAAAAACAGTGTGATAGGATGGAAGCGGGAAGGTAAAATATGATAAATCTCAAGGAGCTATAAAATGTATAAATAAAGCCTGTATAAGAGCATCTCTGACAAATCTAGATGTTAGAAAACAAAAGCTTTTTGGGAAAGTATTTTAAAAATAAAGAAATTACCAACTGAAATGTTGGCGTCCGGAAGTCCCCTACTTGTGGATTTTATTTGCATGCAGCAAATGAGGAGTGCCGGGCGGATTTTTGATGAATTTTGTAGTTTTGCTTGAAGCCTTGAATAAACCTACGGAGAAGAATATTCTAGTCCATGACATAGAAAGGGTACACAAAAAATATGTTAAAAGGCCACCAATTTCAAGGTAAAAAAAGAAAACTAAAGATCTTTTTGAATTTGAACTTTAAAAAATGAAAGTTTTGTGTAGGTAGGTTATTTTTATATTTCAATATGTAATAATATTAAAAGTGGTGTACTTGTTCCATTTTTTCGACTCGGTGAAAGTGAACGAAGAGACCTGTCCAGATGATCCGGACCAAAAGCTCTGTGTCTACTCAGACCACCATTGCCGAAAGCTCCGCAACACCAGAAGAACTGCTTAAATCCTCTTCGGAATCTGGAAAAATAGATAGTTAAGAAGAAATTCTGTGGCACTAGAAAAAAAAGTGAACTAATTAAGGGAAAAACACAGTTCAAGGCCTGTCCCACCAAATTTTAAATTGTCTGATAACAATCCAACGTGTAAAATATATGACTGGAATATCGGCTTTTGTCCCCTTATCCGACAGTAAAGTCATTTTTAAGCTATCTGAGCCTCTATCAGCCAGTGGGACAGGCCCTTAAAGTTGTTTACGAAGGACCAAATTTCCGCAGCCTTAATCCAACACCGAAAAAAGAAGAAAAACAACTTACTTAGAATTCATCCAACAATAAATGATGGGATTATACATGGAGTTGCTCATAGCCAGCCAGTAGATGCCTAGATATATCTCCTGAATATGAGGGTAGTTGACGACTTCCGGGTAGTATGACGTCACCACGAAGTAAACGTGAAAGGGTAGCCAGCAGACAGCGAATATCACCACGACGACTATCATCATTTTCACCACCTGCATAAATTAATATTAGATTTAATCTAACCTCACTCTTCACCTGCACAAAATTTTGCTTAGAATTTAATAGAATAATTATTTTTTATTGACATTTTACTTTACGAGCCCTGATTTGTGTAAAAGTAGAAAGCATCAACACAAATTATATTTGTTAGTTAGTAAATTATATCTAGGAACACGATTCTATGATATTATTAAAAATGAGATATGTAAGATTAATCACTGCTTCTAAGTTTCTAGGTTAATAAGAAAATGTTGATGGAATTAGAAAATCTTAATTTACCCTTCGCTTGCTCTTGACGTTGTCGAGTTGCCGCTGAGTACATTCCCCGATCGACTGAGACCCCCACAGCTCCACGCCGACCCTCGCGTATGTGTACGTCATCGAAATAATTGGAAGAAAATATGTCAATATCATGAAAGCCACGTTATATCTGAAATCGCACATGAATATTAAAAATGTAAAACGAGAATGAACGTATTTTATTTTTTATTCATATACCTCTTAAACATAATTGACTATTTTGCACTTTTCACACGTCTGAAAACTATAGGCAAAGAGCCAAAATCCTTAAACTCTGGGTATATTTTATGTCTGTTGTCATTAGTTGAAAATCATCTCACATTCCAAAAGAATATTTTTAAGGATTCATTTTTTATAACGTAAGTATAATTTCGAATTAAAAAATATTAATCTATGAAGCGTAAAGCCAATATTAACTGCTTTTAACCTCTATCACACTAATCTTATAAGCTTCACATTAATCTTAGATACGTTTTAAGCAATGCGAATAAAAAAGATTACTAACACATATTCCTGCAGCGATCTTGTCGTCATTCCGTCAGGCCATTCGGCGAAACACACGCGTCTAGAAATAAAACAAAAATATATTAAACCTGTTTTAAGAAATTATAAAAGAAGAAATGAAGTCATCATCATCTGCCCTACCTTATCCTACTCTCGTAGCATCAACGCGCCGGGTTTTCGTCCTCAAAATAATTCTTTCATCCGTCATCACAGTCATCACTTCCATCTTGATCATGTCACCTTTCACGCAATCCATCCATCTCTTTCTAGGTCTACCTCTACTGATTTAAGAAGTAGAGTATTAAGAAGATGTAATCATACCTTGTGCTGCCGTCTGGCAGTGTATCCATCTCCGTGGTAAAGAACACAATGTTGGGACTACTAAGTACAGAACTGCCGGCCCAGATCGCGGCAGCTATGCCCAGGGTCGCCCGCTTCCCCAGCCGTGGACGCAGGGGACTCATGATGGCTACATACCTACAACAGCCCATGGTTAAATATGTTGCCGAATGGGCCACAGCTCAAAAATTATTACAGAAGACAGGCGTGAACTAAATTTCTCCTGAATAATGTAAGTGGAGGAGGCTTAATTGAAATGATGACACGAACAAGGGGAAAAGATAAAAAAAAAAACTTTTTCAAATGTCGTCGTTTTCTGTTCTTTCTGTCTTTACATATGGGTTTATAAAGAAAAATATACGTTAATGAAGTATCTAAGTGACCAATTAACGTATTAGATCAAGGCAGTAAATCTTAGATTTTTAAAATTGTACAATTTTGAGAATTCTCTCACCTGTCTATACTTATTGCCATTAACGTGAAGACGGAGGCGGATATGCTGACAACAGCAATGAATTGATTGAACTTGCAGTAGAAATGTCCGAAAGGCCAGTCCGCGTACAGCATGTATGTGAAGTTGAACGTCACGTTCAGAGTCGACACCATCGCGTCAGCCACAGACAGATTTACTACAGAAAGAAACAATTTACAACCTAGCATTGTGTTCAATTGAGCAAGAATTATATTCCTTAATGGGCAATAATTTTAAGTAGTCCTTAGAGCGCGCAAACACCTTTGACTAAATTATAGCACAACTGTTTAGATAGATTTAGATTCCTATGAACTTATGCACTACTCGATGTTTAATTGTGCATAAACAGTTGAGTTAGCTGTGAAACAATCGACAATCAACAATTGCATAACAGTTGTGTGATAGTTTAGTCAAAGACCCGCTCTTAAAAGTTGTTTTTTTTAATTGGGTGAAATTGTAATCGTTTCTTCATTAATCACTTGTTAACATTACAGATAATATTCTTAATGCATAAATCCAAACTATTTTGACTATTTAGTCCATATTTAAAATATTTGATCTTGATATTTGAACAAAAGCTGTAAAATCTAAAAGTAAATCTGTTAATACCCAAGAAATAGTTGGTAACGCTCCTCATGCGCTTGTTAGCAAGGACAATCCAGATGACAACGAGGTTGCCGACGGTGGCGACCACCACCATGCCGCCAAACAGCACTGTCCACAGCACTTGTCGCCACCATGGTAATATGAATGATTGGTATACCTACACAGTACAGTTAATAAAGTTAGGGCGTCAATACGTAAATTAAAAAAAATCATACACCAAGTCGTAAATATAATTCTAATGATAAACCACTTTTGCAACTTTCTGTCTGTCTGTCCATAAGTCCTTGTTCCTTTGGTTAATCTTTGAAGAAACTTGACCAAAGACAACACGTATAGAAAGTTAAAGAAGATTATGAAAAGGTGAAATTTGGCATAGACGTATAGCCTGAGAGAACATATAGCCTAGTCACTTTTTATTAATTCCACGCGGATGAAGACGCAGGAGAAAGCCAGTGTAATACAAACTTACCTCAGTGGAGTTCCCAGTTTGGTTAATATAATTATCTTTGGCGACATCGTAGAAAGTAACATAGAAGTTATGGACATCACTAACGTACGGCGTGGATTCATTGGAGATAGCAGTTGGAGTCGGGTCGTCGAACATCGTTCACGTATCCTGAGAACGAAAAGAACAAACTTTAGAAACTCGTAGAGGACTTTGCTTTTAAATTGTACAGTCTACAGTTTTTGACAAATGTAATACAATAAGTATTCATGTACGAAGGAAACAAACGACGATCAGAACGATCCGTTTGTGAGAAGGGTCAGTAAATCTCAGTCAAATCTTTACAAATTGAAAAAGGTTTATTCCAGTCAAATATATTCCTCATATTTCTGATATGTGATCTACATTTCAAAGGACCAACGGCAGAAAACTGAAACGACGTTTAATATAACATCTGAATGATAAAGAAGTAAATGTTATAATATTTTCAGTATTCGGCCGTAAAACTATAGAATATTTGTAGGCGATTAATTATTTAACTAAATTGTCTTCATTTCAAACATTTCCAAATGTAAATGCTTTTGTGGTGGAAACAACTGACTAATCAATCTGTTTAAAATGATTACCAACTATAGACATTGTTATGCTGTTATGCATGATATTTTAAAACTCATTATCTAAAACCGAATAGCCTATTATTCAATACATTCCACAAAATCTGTCTTCTTCTTCGTCGTTAGAGTCTTTACAGACTTGTGGTTATCACGTATCAGGTATCAGTGACCTGCTTCACAAGCCGTCGCCACTCCTCTCTGTACGCTGCTTTTTTCGCACATTAATGCAAGGATACGGTGATATTGGTCACAAAATTTGGACTCATAATATGTTTATTGTACATTAGTGTTATTAACTTAAAAGGTTTTGATATCAAAAATCACTGCGTATTTCCAGATACTAGATCCCATAAGTTAAACCAGGCATAAATAGAAATGGGGTAATAGAATTCCAATAATGAAATTGGCAGGCGTGTCGGTTTCATGTCACCTGTGTATATTTACTGAGGTATTTAGACACGATCGATTCTCTCTGGGCTGTCGGAATGCCGCGTTCAGACCTCGTAAATGTTGATTGAGCCCCACAATTGGTCCTCGTGTCAACGTTTCGGCATACTCGTATGCCGCAATAAAATAGCGATCACATTGATCGTAACTTGTTTCGGGGAATGTACTTTTTATGTCACGCAATTCATTTGTTTGGAATGTAATTGTGCGAATAAGATTTTTGATACCATTCAAAGAATTACAGTATTTAGAACGAATCATGCTAATATTATATATTATAATCTACAATATATAAAGCACAATTTTGCGATTGTCGATTGTTTCGCAGTCAATTCAACTATTTAGTTGCATAAAAAATCGAGTACTGTGCGCACTTTCATATTAGCTCACAGGAACCAAAGCGCGACTAAACAGTTGTGCGATAGTTGAGTCAGCTCCGTGCACGCTCTTATAGATCTTTATGACATTTTGCACATTTGTAGAAAACAGTCCGCAAGAGCATATCTATATGCTAAGTTAGTTAAAGTTGATTTTTTGTGTGATTTTCCAAAACAGTGTTTGTTACGCGCTTAAAATACGCAATAAAAAACGAGTTTTTAATATTTATTTCTCTCCGGTGTTAATGAGTAATAACTAGAAAAATGTAAACTATCCAGATTCCAGTGGGAATCGTAGAATTTTTCAAGATAAAATGAGTTCTGATGATTTCTAACTATGTTAATCAAACACACATTCAATTTTGAACTCATTTTAACCAAATTTATGGATTTATTTTACTCTAAATGTAACTTTTATTTAACTCTATGTAGAGATGTTATATAAACATTCTATTAGCGTTGGTAACCCATCATTCCGACGGACCGCAGTAAACTGGCTCAAAGTATAATGACAGTCGTAATTAATCTCCATGGAGCAAAGCTTCACGATACGTATTCGGTCCGCTACACCCTTACATGAAGGATAATTTAATTCAATATCCCTCTTGCTAATAAATGTGATTGGTGTGTTTGAAGAGGTTTATGTAGTAAACTTTAATCCATTTAAGTTATATTACTTTGGTTTTAAATTATGGTAAATACACTAACAAAAATGAACAATCGACAATACTTGTGACGTGTTAGCTAGTTATTTCGGGAAGATGATGTATTTTAGTTGCTGATAACGGAAATCGCATTTTTTTTTATCTATCTGTCTGTCTGGCTGTCTGCAAGCCGTGTTTGTTCCGGGTAATCTCCGAAACGGCTGGTCGGATTTGGACCGGACTTTCACTAAAAGATAGCTGACGTAGACCGGCGTATTATAGGCTACTTTTTTATCTTAATCATGCGTGGACGAAGTCACAGGCAATAGCTAGTTAAAAATAATAACGTTATAATAATAAACAAGAGAATAAGTATTCATTAATGTAACATAGTATCCGTGTATCAAATTTATAATAGGGCTGTCAGATTTCTATTTTCTCTACAAAGTAACGCATAGTTTGCATTGAATACTTCAGACAACTTGAACTGTTCCTATTTTACTTTTAAACTCGAAACTGGAAAGTTGTTCAATAGCTGTTCGTTATCTGAACGAAGCGAGTTGAAATGCAGCTTATGGCATTTGATATTTCAACTTTGTAACTCTAGTATCATGAATTTCATAGTTGGAGTCTCTCTTATGTGAGGTTTCTGAAGTTCATTTATTTAATCATTACTTATGTATATTTGTTTCAACGGAGTCAACTCAAGTTACGTAGTTCGGTAATACATTTCATGAAGATATCGAACTAAAAACACTAAAAGTAGTGGGGAAACTGGCTATTAAATAATAATAATACTAAGAGACTGCTTTAACTTCTAAATAACGAATCTGAGTGGGACAGTAAACCTTGTTATTTATTTTATTTATTTAATTATAAACCATTTAGCACATGTGCTGGTCTTATTTATCACTAGCCGTTGCCCGCGACTTCGTCCACGCAATCTATACTATTATAATAAAGCGTAAACACACACTTCTTTGTTGCCTAAGATGTCAGCAATTACAGCATATTTTTGAATAATTCTTTTTTTTAATAAAAAGCCCTACACTTCATCACGCTTTAGGCTATATATTTTCACGCCATTAAACTTAGGGGGTAAATATTTAGGATAAAAACTCTAATGTGGGAAAGAGACCAGAGTTATGTCATTTGGATATTTGTAATTGATAATTTGACAAATGTAAACAATAAAATAAAATTTTCATAATTTCATGCGGATGAAGTCGCACGGGAACAGCTAGTACTAAGATAAAAAAGTAGCCTATAATATGCCCGTCTATATCAGCTAGCTACCCTTCAGTGAAAGTCCGGTCGTAATCGGCCCAGCGGTTTTGGAGATTACTCGGAATAGACGCGGCTTGCGGACAGATAGACAAAAAAAAAATCAATGCGATTTTCGTTATTCACCATCTTCCCGAAATCTGTTTTTTTTTTTCTGAAGATATTACAAATAGGCACTCCAAATTTATTATACGTATAGATAACGCATACTAAGAGACTGCTTTGATGTCGAACTAACGAATCTAAGTGGGACAGTTAACCTTATTTATATGGTAAAACCAACGTATTAAAAGGATCGACCATTCGGTCAAAGTTGAAAGTTCAATGTTAGAATGCGGAAAAAGGCATTTGTCATTAACAGGCCTACGTAAAGCACTGTTTGGGCTGATAAAAGATGGGACCATAAACCTTAACCCGTGTGTGAAATTTCCGAATCGGTGAACAAATTCATAACGCTAACAGTTTCAATCTCTATAATGTAGTGCCGCTATATAGTAGTCGCCTTCCATAGTTACTTCAGACAAGAACTAACGCGTGTGTAAAACTGTACACATATCAATGGAATGAATACTTTGCTTTATAATTATGTACAAGTTTAAAACTGTTAAAACGTAGCTTGCGTGGAATTAAAAAACAGGTCGTCGATATTCCCAACTGCATCAACCCCTTCCCATCAAAGTCTATTTATAATTGGTCCAGCCGTTTTAGAGATCGGTCCCGGAACGCGCGGAACTAAAAAAAAGGTTGTCTAAAATGCATGTATTAACTACCATCCTGTCAAAGTCCTGTCGATATCGATACTAATACTTCCAGAGTGAATTTTTAAATGCGATTTTCGTTATCAGCAACGCAAAAACATATATAGATTCAAAACTTAGCTTGAGTTAAATTTAATACTAGCTATAAATAGATTATATGAAATAAGACATTCCGATTCAGACGCCGAGATGCCAACTTTGTAATGATGGATTCAAAGGAATTTAATAAGCAAGGAAAATTCTTTATTAATAATTCTGAATAGCTGCTAATCAGCTTATAAGTTAAAGAATATATATATAAAGTTACATCGTATCGTCTGTGTTTAGAATAAAAATTTAATCATACTAATATTATAAATGCGAAAGTTTAGATGGATGGATGTTTGTTAGAGTTTGTAGTCTAAACGGTTTTATGGATCTCGATGAAATTTCGCACAGATATAGAGGATAGTCTGGAAGAACACATAGGCTATTCACTTTTGATTTTTTAAATTCCACGCGGACACAGTCGCGGGCAACAGCTAGTATTATTATATTTATAAGAAATGTCTAGGATTATTAGACGTGATGTTTAAAGTGACAGTATTTTCCATATATCATTGGTAAAGTTAAATTATAATACATTTTAAAAATAGAGTAGTTTTGAAGAATACATGAATCCTACTTTATCGCTATAAAACAAAAAAATACGGTGTTATCCTACTTCTTATCTTAACATAATTCTTACTTATATTATAAATGCGAAAGTTTAGATAGATGGATGGATGTATGTTAGAGTTTGCCGTCTAAACAGCTGAACGGATCGTAATGAAATTTGGCATAGATTTAGAGCATAAGTTACTAATTACACTTTGTCTATTTTTTTTGTCTAAGGTGGCAAACGAACAAGCCGCCAACTGAATCCACCGAAATGGAAAGCGACCGATGTCCTTTAACATCCGCAATTACAGATGCGTTGTCTACCCTTAATTGACGGAGTAGGAGACGCACATAAAGAGGACATTTCCCCTTCCTATGCGTCTCCTCCACCGTCGA